CAGTACTTTTGTTTGAAAGAAAGAACATGTTATTTCATTAACTAATGGATTCGAATGAATTTGGGTTTAGGCTGTCTCAAGATTAGCTTCTGCTACATATAATTAAAAACATTCCAATATAACAGTAGTGAGTGTTTTTCATTTCAGAGTTTGGGGACATCCAAATTGCTGTTTCTTACTCAAAAATTATTATAAAATTCTTAAAAAGAAAAAGGAGAAACATTTTAATATATTTGAATTGCCCTTATCAAACTGTCCTTATGCTTTTAGAAATTCTCATGAAATAATAGTATATTAGTATTACCCCCAAAATAATTTTTATTGGTTTAAGTGTTTGTTACAATTTATTTTAGATATTATTTGGACACATTACTTTTTGTTGTTGTTGTTAATCCTCAACCAAGGGAATTGTTTCATTTATCTCCAGATAGAGTAGGAAGGAAGAAGGGAGAAAGAGAGAGAAACATCGATGTGAGAGACATCAATCTGCTGCCTCCTGCATGACCCCTACTAAACCCGAAACCCAGGCACCTGGGAATCGAACCCATGACCCTTCGGGCTGATGCTCTAACCAGTGAGCCAAACCGACCAGGGCAAGGACACATTACATTACATTTTGTATAAGTCTGTTAGGATTTACAGCTATTTAGGCAACTATTATATTCTGGGCTCAGTAGTAAATTCATTTACACATTCTTTTGTGCAACACACTGCCCTAGGCTGTATTACCCCAACATTATGAAAGGTATAACAAATTGCCTGTTGGGAAACAACTGTCCTATGTTAATCAACAGTTTGGAAACCCAATCAGTTTATCTTTATTTCTTAAGTTGATAACATTTATTGTGCTTATTTGATACTAAAAAGTATTATATTCTCTACTTTTGGTAATATAGTTGGCTCTTCAGATTGAATTTCCTGGTAAAGACAGCTAAGAGTACTGAATCAAGTATTTTAAAAGTGTGGAAGAACTGACAAGGTAGAAATTATCAGGTCAGAATCTAAGTCGACCAGTCCCTTCTCCCACCTCCTCACCCCCTTTCTCTCCATGTTGCCAAAACTCAGTGATTTGTTCTCTAGAACGGCCCTCATCTGGATTGATCTGTTTGCTTCCTTGTGAAGATTTAATTTGTTTCTCTATCCCTCATATTTCCTATAAATGGTTTCTAACAGCATTAACCTAATTGCTTACTTGTATCATCCTATAATAGTTTCAAAATAATACCAGTATTGCTGCAGACAATTAGATGACAAACTACTGAATAAAGTTTAAGATTTCTTTGCAGCTCTATTTGTTCTTAGAATATATTTTACCAAGGATGAACAGTCAATTCTGTATTCTAATGCAACATGATATAATTGTTTTCTTTATATTTTTATATCAACTTTACATCAAGTTGGATTCATTTGTTTCAGTTATCAGTTTTTAGGGATGGCTTAAGTCAAAACTGTATAACAAGGTATGTTCAGAGAAATCTTGCTTCTGTATCCCATCCACTCTGTTCTCTTCCTCCTCCTGTTGGTGACTATTTTTGTTTATTTTTTGTCAGTATTTATTTTTGCAAACATGCAAAAATATGCGTATATTATATGTTCTTATACCCTTATATAAAAGTTTGCACACTAAATATACTGTTACACATTGTGTGTGTGTGTGTGTGTGTGTGTGTGTGCATGTTTAAAATAATATATCTGGAAGATCACTTTGTATTAGTACATAGGGAACTTTCTCATTCATTTTATGGCACATAGTAGTGCCTTTGGGAGTAAACCATGGTTTATTTAACCAAGCCCCTATTGATGGGTATCTGGGTTCTTTCCAGACTTTTGCTATTATAAATAATGCCACAGTGAATACCCTTACACCTAAGTAATTTCATATTTTGCCCAATGAAACTTTGAAAATGATTTCTAGAAGTGGGGTTGCTCTGTAAAAGGGTAAATGCATTTGGAATTTTTCTGGTTATTATCAATTCCTGTCTGTAGCCTATACCATTTTACAGTCCCACCAGCAATGTGTCAGGGTGTCTAGTTCTGTACAGCCTCACCATAAACTTTGTAGTTGAACTTTGGATTTATATCAGTAAAGGTAATAGTATTTCGGTGTAATTTTATTTTTTATTTTTATTTTTTTTATCCTCACCCGGGGACATTTTTTGATATTTGATATTTTGTTCAGATAGAGTGGGAGGGGGCGGGAGGGGGGAGAGAGAGAGAGAGAGAGAGAGAGAGAGAGAGAGAGAGAGAGAGAGAGAGAGAGAGAAACACAAACGTGAAAGGGACATGTCGAGTGGTTGCCACCCACACGACCCAACCAGGGGAGGGGACAAACTGTAACTGAGGTACGTGCCCTTAGCGGAACCGAACCCAGGTCTCTCTGGACCGCAGGCCAACGCTCTAACCGCTGAGCCATACCGGCCAGGGCTCTCAGTGTAATTTTAAATGCATCTCTCTTATAATGAGGAAGATTATCTATATATAATGTTTTTAAGGACTATTTAAATATTTTCTTCTGTGACTGTCTTTTATATGTTTCGCACATTTTTTTAAAAAATGTGTTGTGGGTCTTTCCCAGCCCTCTCTGTATTTAGGACTTTTTTGTTTGGTTTGGTTTTTAGAGATAATAATCCTTTGACTTGATTTGTGATTTTTTTTTTCAGTTTGTCATTTGTCTTTTGACTTTATTATGGTGATTCTGTATGTTTGTTTGTTTTTGCCATTTTAAAGTTTGCTATAATTGAATTTTTTTTTCTTTTTATTTCTTCCAGATTTTGAGTATCAGCTAGGAAGGTTTTTCTCACTTCCAGATTATAAAGGAATTTACTCATATTTTCACCTATTACTTATATAATTTCATTTTTTATATTTAGATCTCTGGTCTGTTTGGGAATTATTCCAATGTAGTGTGATGTATAGATCCAATTTTAATTTTTCCCAAATATATATCCAATTGTTCCAATACATTTCCCTACTGATTCAAGATTGGAGTCTGTTTTTGGCCTTTACATCTGTTCCATTGATTTGTCTAATCATGTGCTAATGTTTTAATTATAGGTGCCTAAATATTTTGCTACTTTACTTTTTGATCAGGACTAGGTAATAACAATTACAGGTCACCCTCATGTAATTCGTTGTATCTCTGTCACCAACAACAAATGGAATACATTTTTAATATATGTTTGTTGCAGTGCATGAGTAGGCACTCTTTGGTCTTATATTAGTGAAAAGAGTGCTGAACAAGGAGTCAGGGAACAAACTCTGCTTTTAATACCACTTCTAAACAAGTCACTTACTCTCTCTCTGGGCCTGTTTTCTCAGCAGTTAACAAATAAAAGGGGTTGAACTAGATGGTCATCAGGGTTGTTTCTGAATCTAGTTAAAGCTGAACTGGGAAAAGCACTACTAGTATCTGGTGTATAGTTTAGTCTGCTTTTAATTACCCTGTGCCTTGCCCTTTTGCCATATTCACGAAGTAAAGTTTCCATTTTGGATCCTGGTTCTTTAATGTTTTCTGTACGCTTTTCTTTGTTCCAACATTTTCTTCTCTCCTATGTTTCTTTTATTAGCTTGCATTTCTTTCTGCTGATTAAACAAGAATTGCCACTGTTTAGCTGCTCAGCTTCCACTGACCTCAGTAGGGAAAAATTGCATGCAATAAATGGGAATTATTTTTCCCCCTGGCAGAGAATTTCTTTAAAAACAAAAACCAGCTGCTAATAGTAGTCTGTTTTATTGCACAAAGAACAGAAGGAGAAAAGTTGCCTGTAGTGGTTGCACAAATCAGACAAGACTATGACCAGATCGTTAGTTTTTAATTTATTTATGAGACTTGGTATTTCCATGTATTTCCCAATACCCATCCTTCAAGAGGCCAAGAAAGAAGGTGATGAAAAAGAAGAGCAAAAGTGTGGAAAGACCTGTTGAGTAACAGTCTTATATATACAGTGTGAAAGATTATGATGATTTAAGACAAGTTAAAGTTTGACCAAATATAAAAACATATCTAGAATGCTTAAAATTCAAAAGATTAAGGGGAAATTCTAGACTGATTGCTGCTGGGTAAATTAAACTTAAAAGCTCAAAATTTGAAAAACACACGAAAGAAACTTGTTAATGAGGAACACAGAGGAGAACCAATGCAGTATGACAATAAACATCATGTTTATTCAGGAAAAATAAGCAACTCAAGGAAGTGTTTCTGCAGATAAAAGGTTTGAATGGTCAGTACAGGATGGCTTAAAAAATTTCAAGAGAAACATTGTATATAAAATTTCAATATCCAAAAGCCTGCTAGTTTTTATTAAAGATGGAATTTAATTTCTTGAACACCATGCTACAATAAATGCTATATTTTGTTCATAAAAATCCCAGAACTATGAGAGTTTCCAACGTAACCTATCAGTAAGGCCACCACACTTCATTCTAAGTGACTGTCTCCCCCAGGAACTGGGGTGGGGGTGGGTAAGGAGGAAGAATATGTGCTTGTTGGCCAAGGAGCATGTCTGCAGGCACAGGCTGCCATTCCACAAGCTCAGGCCAGTGAATACTCTGCACCTTGACTTTGACTAAGATTGGGCTCATCCCTACTCTAATAACTCAGATTTCTCACTTGTCAGGTAATGGATAAGAGAAGAAATTCTGCATAAGAAAGGTGCTTAAAGAGTTTAAATGTATAATGCTGAAATGTATAAGTATGAATTTAATGAAAGTTGAGAATCATCTGTATTTCAATACAATCTGTTTTTCTTGAAAAAATTATCCAAATTTGAAATGAAGCCATATAAGTGTTTTGTTGTGTGTTATTTCCTTTTTATAAGATTTTGTTTTGCCCTGGCCGGTTTGGCTCAGCGGTTGGAGCGTCGGCCTGCAGTACAGAGAGACCCGGGTTCGGTTCCCGCTAAGGGCACGTACCTTGGTTGCAGTTAGTCCCCGGCCGGGGTGGCAGCCACTCGATGTGTCCCTTCACATCGATGTTTCTCTCTCTCTCTCTTCCTCTCTTTCCCTCCCCCGCTCTATCTGAACAAAAAATGGAAAAATATCCTCGGGTGAGGAAAAAAAAAAAAAAAAAAGATTTTGTTTTGTTTGGATTCTTAAGATGTAGAAAGAGGCTAGTTTCAAAATTTGTGGTCCCCGAATAAGACAAGAAAATATCTACATTTTATGGTGCATGTTCATATTTTTTTCAGAGTAAATGTCCACAACCCCCAAATTTGATATTTTAGTATGTTCACTTTACTATTTCTAATGAGAGCTAAAAGGAAATTTTTCCATTTTCAAACATGCATTTTAATCACTCATCCCCATGAACTTAGAATATTTATTTTAATACTGGAGATATTAATTTAAAACTTGGAGTTTTGTTTAAAGTTGGAGTATGTATTTAATATTTCATTTTCTCCACCTCAGACTTTGAAATGGAAAAATAAAATTTTATTTATTCAGGGTTACTTGATACACAGCTTCTCAGGGGAAAAAAAAATCTATTGGGTAATACTAAGTATACATAGGTTTGTTTCCAAAGTGGTTAAGTTATTGACACATATACCATCCACATTTGTAAAACAGACTCTACATTAAAGTTAGATGCTATAGCCAGTAAATAGATCACTGTTATATATAGTTTTAAAAAATAAGTTTCACCTATGCTCATGGGCTTTGAACAGATTTCATGTAGTTCCTGAATACAAATAAAAATTGGTTACCAGTTGCCATTTAATATATTTCATTACATGAAGAAAAACAAAAGATATCCTTTAAAAAGGATGGAAAATCAACTAAAAATCAAGCTGTAATATTTATAACAATTCTGCAGGTGGGGGTGGCAGGGATTCACTGAGATCTTGACCAGAGTTGGGAAGAACAGAGAACTCCTGACATTGGATCTCATTGTTGGAATCTTCCAGGTTTTTCATAAAATCTCCTGGTGGCAGGGGCAAGTCAGATGAGTCGGGAGGAAGCGGAAGTGATTGTTTGTCCTCACAATTATGATCTTCACAGACTTGATTGAGACAGTTCAGAGATGGTGGGAGACTGGTGGAATCATTTGGAAGAGGAAATACAGTTGTCATTGTGGGTTTGTCAGATGGGTTACTCTCCTGTCCTTCCAAATCAAGGAGAGGAGGAGGTGGAGGCAGCTCTGCATCATCTGAAGAAGAAATAGCAGTGCCAATTGTTGACCCACCAGCACTATCCTCAGATGTACCATTTACTTGATCTTTTATTTTCTCCATTTTTGGGTTATTGGAATCTTCAATGTTTTCACTTGATTCAAACAAATTAATTTCTAAATCATCTGCTAAAAGTGTGCTTTTGCCTGGTTTCCAGGCCTTAAATGAAATAATTGATGTACGTTTTAAGGATAATTCATTTTCTCTGATGTTATCCAAACATATGTCAGGGGTTTCACCATCAGCGAATGGAGATCTGCCTGCCCAATTTTGATCATTTAAAACTGGTTTTCTCAAGCATTTGCATAGTATAATCAGGATTATAGCTATCAACATAGAAACCAGAATTATACCAACAAATATGGCAGCTATTGAATTAGCATTGGTATGTGGGGTTGGTGTGTTACTAGTATCTTCTGGGATGAATCCTGGTGTAATCCTAGGTGAACTTTTAACAGCTGGTGTTGGTTGTGTGGCTAGATTTTGAATAGTTGGTGGTACTGGCTTTTTAGAAGAGGTGTGGACAGATGATGGTCGTTGAGTGGATCTATAGACAAATGGTTGCAGTTGTCTGGTAGAAGTACTGGCAGTTGTTGGTAGTTGTCTGTCAGAGGTGAACACAGGTTGTGCTGTTTGTTGGGAGGAGGTGTTGGCCATTGATGTTGGTTGTGTTGATCTGGTGATGTTATAGGCAAGTGGTTGTCCAGCAGAAGTATGTGCTACTGGTTTTCCAGAAAAAGCAAAGACAGCTGCTGTAAGTTGTCCAGCAGCAACTTTGGTAGCTGGCGTTGGTTGTCCCGGAGAAACATTGTTTAGTTGTGTTGGTTGGCCCAAAGGATTTCCTGTTGTGTTTTGAGAATTGACCAAGCCATGTGGCATTGATGATGTAAATAAAGTGGATTGTGGCTGCTTCTCTGTTGTAATTGCTTTTGTCTCTGAGAAAAATGTATTGTTCAGGTGTCCACAAAACAAAATTAAAATGAAATATTTGGGATCCATTTCAGAATGTTTCCTTTTTACTATTGGTTTTATAATGAAAAAAAAAAAAAAGAAAGAAAGAAAGAAAGAAAGACAATTAAGTCTCATTTGATGTCTGGCATAAAGTAGATAGGTACCTTATAAGTATTTATTATTCCTAATTTAGACTTGATACACTAAAGACTAGCGCAAACAACTCTTAAATATACTCTAACTTATCATTACAACATTTGGCCCTTCTAGGCAGTGCTTTTCCTTAATTCTGCCATAGATCTGTTCTTGTCTCTGCTCCCCTCCAGCTTATACATTATAGCCCTTCATTTCACAGTCATACTTCTCAAAGATATAGGCTCTGTATGCTGCTTCCATGTACTCTCTGTTTTTTCTCTCCTTATGACTTGAAGTATATTGATCCTGCTGTCTTGAAGGACACCAGAAACTATATTACTTTATCCAAAGATCTTTTCTCTCTCTTGAACATATTTAACACTACTGACTATTCCTTCACTACTATTCAAAGAGCTTTTTGTAATAGTCTTCCTTTCATGTTAATCTCACTAGCTCCTGTTTTTCTCTTGCCTCCTAAATATTGGTACTTGATATTCAGTCCTCATGTTATCTACTTTTCTTTGATCCTGAATCTGTAAGATTTCAGCTCTCTTCTTTATGCCAAAGCTCCCAAACCTGTACATCCAGCCCAAATCTCTTTAATTCTGTTTCATTTGTATGACTTCTTGGTGGACATTTCCATGTCTACATCCCACTATCAGCAAATTCAGCATTTAAAACAGAATTCCTCTTCATCTTAAAACTGACTTCTCTCCTAACTTCTCTAATTTTAATGGTACTACCTGTGTACATTTCTTATGCATATAGTCTATTGCAATATCATCAGTGTTTAGCATATATCTTTATGTTAGGACCTCATTTTTAAAAGGATTCAATTCAGCTCACAGTCCATGGCTCAGAACCCTAAAGTGAGCTTTGAATGTGAATGAGTCAGCCTTACCCAGTTGGTCAAGTAGTCCTGTTGCTGCTTTCATTCATTTATTGGTAAGCATCATCTTTGTGTCAGGCCCTGTTTTAGGTATAGAAGATGGGGGGAGGGGAGATTCCAGTTGTAAAAACCAACAAGTAATAAATAATTATAATAATTTGATGAGTTTTCTCATAAAGATATGCAGGGGATACACAGAGGAACCAATGCAGCCTGGGAGGGCTTTAGGGGAGGTTTCTCAGAGAAGTAAAACTTGAACTGAATCTTGAAAGGTCTGTAATTAAGCAAATAAAATATTTTAGCTGGGGGAACAACATACAGACATGGGAAAAGAAGATATGGATAAGTTTAGCAGCTAGGGCTTTTTGTGAGATATTGTAGAGGCTCATACTTGAAGAGATGGTTAAGTGCCAGTTCTTCTCTGTCACCTCACTTCCTGTCTAACCATGAGAACTAGTCACTTAATCTCTCCTGTTCTCAGCTGCCTTATCTCCAAAGTGAGGAGTTATACTAAGACAATTTTCAGCTCTGTTTGCAATATTCTTGTTTCACACATTATTAAACACAGTGGTAACTATTCAGTTTTTTGTTTTTTTTTACCTTAGGGAAAGAAAAATCTCATTGTGTTAGATCCCAGGATATATTATTAGAAACTGTGGTGTGTGTGTGTGTGTGTGTGTGTGTGTGTGTGTGTGTGTATAATGATTCATAGGCCATTTTGAGAGGGATTTGATGTTCTGTGCAAGGTACAATAAAAGGAGAAGAGGAGCTCCCTCAACTTTTGCAAATAAATAGATTTCAGTGTATTTGAGTAGTTTTTATTGCTTAAATCCTCTACTATTTGGTACACAATGATGACAAATTACCCTATTTTTGTAGGGAAAAAACATGATTTTTTTCCTATACAGTTTCTTTATTTTCTCTCTAATATTTCAGGCAATATTTTTTCTTTAAACTCTCCTGTTCTCGGCTGATGAATTAATCTTCTTAAAAGCACATGTGAGCCCTGGCCGGTTTGGCTCAGCGGTTGGAGCGTCGGCCTGCGGTACAGAGAGACCCGGGTTCGGTTCCCGCTAAGGGCATGTACCTTGGTTACAGTTTGTCCCCGGCCCTGGTTGGTCATGCGGGTGGCAGCCACTTGATGTGTCCCTTCACGTCCATGTTTCTCTCTCTCTCTCTCTCTTCCTCTCTCTCCCTCCCGCTCTATCTGAACAAAAAATGGAAAAATGTCCTCGGGTGAGGATAAAAAAAAAAAAAAAAAAAAAAAAAAGCACATGTGATCGCCTTGGCCAGTTTGGTTCAGTGGTTAGAGCATTGGCCTGCGGTCCAGAGAAACCGGGTTCGGTTCCCGCTAAGGGCACATACCTCAGTTGCAGTTTGTCCCTGGCCCTGGTTGGTCATGCGGGTGGCAGCCACTCGAAGTGTTCCTTTCACGTCAATGTTTCTCTCTCTCTGTTCCTGTCTCTCCCTCCCACTCTACCTGAACAAAAAATGGAAAAATGTCCTTGATCAAATTACTTCTCCCTTGCCTAAGAATTCCCCATTGCTGTCAACATAAAAATTCTGCACTGTTTTCTTCCTTCTGGCTTGAGTTTACCAGTCCTGACTTACATCTTTTCACTGAAACTTCTCATTCGGCCAGCTGCACCTCTTCCCTATCTTACATACTTTCTAAACACACACTGTATTTCCTGAACAGACACTTTTAGTTATGCTGTTTTTCACCCACTTGGAGTGTGTTCTTTTTCAAACCCAGCCTTTCCCTCCTTCTGACTGCCTATCTGAACCTGTCCTCATCTTTCAGACCTCAGCTTAAATTCCCCTTCTGAAACCAAGTTCTCTGTGACTGACCACAGCCCAGATGAATTAGTCATTCCCTGAATACCCCTAGTTCCCGTTGTCTTCATGGTTCCTTGAATAACTCTTCATGTATGAACTTCATTTATACTTCTAATTTCTTAAATAATTGTGTTTACTTTTTATTACTTAATGTCTCACATTTTCTTTTCTTTTCTTTTTTTATCCTCACCTGAGGACATTTTTCCATTTTTTGTTCAGGTAGAGTGGGAGGGAGAGAGAGGAAGAGAGAGAGAGAGAGAGGAACATCGATGTGAAGGGACACATCGAGTGGCTGCCACCCACACGACCAACCAGGGCCGGAGACAAACTGCAACCGAGGTACGTGCCCTTAGCGGAAACCGAACCCGGGACTCTCTGTACCGCAGGCCGACGCTCCAACCGCTGAGCCAAACCGGCCAGGGCTCACATTTTCTTTTTATTATCCTCACTCCCTCAAACAAGATTATAAAGAACCTTAAAGAAGGCAGAAAGAAGAAAAAATACTTACCTAGAATATACTGTATGCTGTACTATCTCAAGTGTTTTACATACTTTCATTTAACCTTTAAATGACTCTGTGTGGAAGATGGAAGAATCCTTGATTTACAGATAAAGAGACAAATTTCAGTGTGCTAAGCAATTTGCCCAAAGTGATATCACTGTTGGTGGCAGAGTGGCAGTTTATACCCACGGTCGTCTGATTGCAAAGCTTGTGCTCTTTCTGCTGCCCTAACCTATACTGTGGTTTATATTTTGATTCTTTTACAAAAGGTGCCATGTATGTTAGGAGCCCAGTAAAGTTGGTTCCTTTTTCACTATTTTTTACTATTTTCATTCACTTTTTCACTATTTATTAACACTTCTACCAGAATGTAAGCAGAGAAAGTGAAATCCAAGTTATTAAATTCTGCATTTTATCCATTTTACAAAAGGTTTAATAGTAAAAAAAAAAAAAAAGAAGAAGAAGAAGAAGAAAAGAAACCTTTGGCATAAACATGAAGATTTGAATCACCTCTGGATGGTTATCATTTATTCAGTTCCTACCTGCTGTTCTTACAGAGTTCCACCCCAGCGCCAAGAAAAGGCCTCATCAACAAGTGTTAGTCATCAAAGTTTCCCTTTAGTTTTAAAAAATGCCTTTTGAAGCAACAGAAATACAGGCCATGAATTGTCTTCAGCCAAATATGTTCTTTCTTTTGTCACTTTGCTTAAAATTTTTTTTAAACCTACATGGTTCCTCTTTCCAATTAACTAAAAAATGGGGTGGAGGAGGCATTAAGGAAGGAAAGAGCCCAAACAGGGAACATAATGATAAACCCAATGGAGTTTATAAAATCAATTTTGATAGGTTCATAACCACTTTTGTCAATAGGAAGGTCATAGGACCTTCTGTATATGATATTTTTCACTTATCATTTAAACTTCACACCAATATTAAAACCAAATTCTATTTTTCACCTACCTTACCCCCTTCTCACACCTCCTAGGGTCTGCTATGCCCAGATGCTTGAATCTGTGATAGAATTCTACAGCAATTCAGAATAGTCCAGAAAAGAGGGAGCAGGGCTTTAAATAGGGAGTGTAATAATGAAGAAACTGGCTTTTTTCTAGCTCAGAGACAGTGAGGCCAGTGTTATTACCAGTGCAAAAAGCTATTTAATGTCTGTATTTAGTGTGTGTGTGTGTGTGTGTGTGTGTATACATACATACTGTATGTACCTAAAGTACCCACATTGTTTCCTCAGGGATAGAAGGTAGAAAGAGTCATATGGGGCAGGGGAGTAAAAAGGAGGAGAAATTGTCAGATAACATGAAGTCAAAAGAGAATACAAAGAAATACAAAGTAACACAAAAGAGAAAAATAAGGCAAAAATTATAGTATCAACAAATATATGGAAAAAAGGAAGGTCAATTGACTAGAGAAGGTATTGAAAAAAAGAAAAGTTAATAAAAAGCTGAAGAAAAATTGGTGGTTAAGTAATTAGCAAGAAGTTAAGATAGAGTATTAAAGTAGACAAAAGGAGAAGCTGGGGGAAAAGATGGTAAAAGAAGCAACCACAGAGTGCTGCAGCATAGCTGTCTTGTGCTCTGAACATCCTTAGTGCCCTACCCCCAGCCCCGCACTGCCCAGAATCACACCCAGTTACACCAAAGGACCTATGCACATTCTATGTAGCATTTCTCTAGTGTGCTGCTCAGGCAAATGGCCAAACTTGTCTATTTTCATATGGCAGAAATTTGGTAATTATTTTAGGTTGGTACTTTTGAGATTTAAATTTGTGATTTTGGTCCATTGCTTTTCCTGAAAATTATTATTATTATTTTTTAAAGAAGAAGAAAATTATAAGCTGTTTTAAGTAAGCATTTTGAAGTGCAGTTACAATAAAGCATAAGTCCCCATATTTTAAACATATACTCATAAATATAATGCATAAGTACATAAAGGGTCCAACATTTAAAATTAATGCTGTAAGTTGAACATGATAAGAAATATGTCTTTGTCTTTTCAAGGTAATCAAGGAGATTTGGATAGCATATCCTAGATGAAAAAGCAAGTGTAGGTGAGCAGTATCAAAAATAGTATCTGAGTTTTAGTTATTTTGATATCTTACAATATAGATATGATACACTAAAAATTAGTAGTAGTGTGCCCCAGATGGTGTTCTTAGTGGTTAGAGCATCGGCCTGTGCACCAAAGGGTTTTGGGTTCAATTCTTGGTCAAGAGCATATACCTGGGTTGCAGGTTCAATCCCCAGCCCCAGTTAGGGCGCATGCAGGAGGCAATCAACTGATCTTTTTCTCTTTCCTACTCCCTTGCACTCTCTCTAAAAAAAGAAAAAAATTATTAGAAGTGTATCTCCAACTAGTGGAGTTATAAAACCTTAAAAGGAATGAAACAGCAATTCTATATCTTGAGGAAGAATGGAAGGGAAAATTAAATTAACCTTGCACTATAATAGACGTAATTGATGATCATCTTTTATCAATAATAATATCTACCATAGGATAGTGCCTAGCATTGAGTATCCACCAAATGCTAGGCACTATCTTATTTTACTGAGCAAGGTGGTGTTATCTTCATCTTACAGATAAACATACTGAGACAGCAAAGAAGTTGGGTAATTAGCCAAAGTGTCACAGCTCTAAGTAGTGGCCCTAATACAGAAACCATGTCAGTCTTGTACCAGAACCCTTTCCTTCTGTGATATGTCTATATGCTGCACTGCCTTTCACAGTAAAATTGTGAAACAAATGCTTCATGAAGAAAGGAGATGTGAGCTTTCTGGGAACAGGTATGTAAGTAACTTTTGGAGGTAGCCTTGTGGAAAGGATAATAAAAGAACTATTGAAAATAGCCCTGGCCGGTTTGGCTCAGCGGTTAGAGCGTCAGCCTGTGGTCCAGAGAGACCTGGGTTTGGTTCCCACTAAGGGCATATACCTTGGTTGCAGTTTGTCCTTGGCCCTGGTTGGTCATGTGGGTGGCAGCCACTCGATGCGTCCCTTTTCACATCGATATTTCTCGCTCTCTCTCTCTCTTCCTCTCTCTCTCTCCCACTCTATCTGAACAAAAAATGGAAAAATGTCCTTGGGTGAGGATAAAAAAAAAAAAAAAAAGAACTACTGAAAGTAGTTATGGGAGTTTTGAATGATTAGCCTGTACGCTGTCATATTTGCCATGATTTTTAAAAATTGGACATTGAACCCTGACCAGTCTGGCTTAGTAGTTAGAGAATTGGCCCAAGGACCGAAAAGTCCTGGTTCAATTCCTGGTCAAGGGCATGTACCTGGGTTGCAGGTTTGATCCCCAGCCCAGGTCCAGGTCTTGCGGGAGGCAACCAATCAATGTGTCTCTCTCACATCGATGTGTCTGTCTGTCTCCCTCTCTTCCTTCCTCCCTCCTCCCCTCCCTTTCACCTCTATCTAAAAATCAATGGAAAAATCCTCAGGTAAGGATTAACAAAAAATAAAATAAATCTAAAAATTAGAAATTGAAAAGGATGAGATTTATATTGAACAAATTCAAATTTATTCAGAATTTATAATTTCCTTCTAAGTAGAATTATATTGGAATTAGTTGAAAAACCACAAGTACTATTAAACTCTAAATTTAGGACTCACCCTTTAAAAATAGACAGTCTTGTCTAAAAAAGAGATTTAACTCTTTATTTTCTAACTTCTGTAATAGTTATATACAAGAATGGACTTCTGTAAGGATAAGCCGTAAGTATTTATGAAATGATACGGGATATCACCCACTCTGAATTTATTATTCTATGATATTGTAAGTTTATGTAAACTCTTTGCAGTTTTTATTTTGGAGGATATTTACTGTGCAATTTCTCAGTTTACTCATAGAGTAGGCCCCTTTTATGCATATTAGCAATTTTCTATTGTTTACTCTGGGTGTTTCTTTCTGTATCTATTTTACACTGCTTACTAAAGGTTCAGCTAATGTGGCAAAAATATGTACATGATAAATATACATACATACATTTTTATCATAACAGTTTTGTCTTACTAAACTTTAAAGATGAGCGATAATATTTTCACGTCATCATTATTACATAAATATAAAATTCTATTTGTATAAAAATATAAAACAAGTGTAATAATGTTAATCAGGTACCTCGTTCTATTCTCCATTGGCTTCCTTTTCAATTATGTGACGATGACCATTCTTACTCTGGAAACTAAAGGGGATTAAAAAATAAAAATAATTTAAATCTATGGATTACATGATGTGTAGGAAAATTTTATAGAAAGGAAATAGAATTTTTAACAGTGGTATTTTGGAGTCGTAAATTCAGTCATATCCCGTGGATTCTAGTTTTATGTCTAGCCCTTAGCTTTATCTGCCGTGGCTGTAGTTTATTTCTTTTAATTATGGAACTAAGATTAGCATACTTAGGTGAAATTTTATATTATACAAACCTAGGTGAATTTTTTTCCTCCAAGACAAGCTTAACAGTCAATATTTTTTAATTCCATGCAACAAAAATTATAAAACCTGACATATGCATCTTTAGACTATCAGAGTTTATGTTTAAAACACTAATGTCATTTTAGTTTTAAAAAACAAGTTTTAAATTAAAGAAAGATTAAACCAGATTGCCTGTGTGCAATTTTTCTTACCTTAGCTGTTAACTTCTTTTGCAGGATGCTAAATTCTTGTTCTAACTGGACATTTTGGTGATTTCGACTAAGAAAGCAAAAGGGGTGGTTCAGTTAGATTGAACCTGGTCCTCTAGCAAACTGAAATGGTTGCTGTAGAAAAAGGAAGTTTATCAATAGTTGGTTCCGGAAGCGCAATAAGCCACAAAATGACTAAGAAATGTACTACTTTAACAGAACTTACTTTGAAACACAATTGGGAGCTATATGATTTGAGTGCTTTTAATAAATATTTGTAAGTAAACACTTAAGGCTCTCTAGTAATGTGATTCTATAATTTAAATATTTTGAATAGAGCCTTGGAGAGCAAATTGTATGTTCTAAGGAATACCTGCCAGTTGGGTTATCACCCATAGTGAGATTTATTTCGTAGGAGGTGAATGATGGGTTCAGTTTACTTGTATGACCTTAGGCAAGTTGCTGCACTTCTGAATCACCATTTCCTCCTCTGTAGGAGTATTTCTCTTACTGAGTTGTTGTGAGGCTTAAATAAGATAACGTACAAATGTCTCACACACAGTAGGGAGCAGTAAATGTTATTTACTCATATATAATTTAGGCAAAGCCCAAGTGAAAATATAATTAAATTTTTTGACCATATACTTTACTAAATGATTTTTGAGTTCAAGTCCACAACTCTTTGATTATCCACAAAGTAGGTACTTCTCCGTGAAAGAATAAATTCGGAATCATTTTTTAAATAAGTTAACTGAGCAGAGTATATTGAAAAGAGTATGAGTCAGTCTGAATAAAATTCTTTGGCCAGATCACCTTCTAGCCTCTTTCCTCATCTGAAAAGTGGAGATCATAATTTCTGACTTATACATTTATTACGAGATTAAATAAGTATGAGGTGCCTAGCATAGCACATATCGCGTGGAAATAAACAGCATCAAGCAATGCCCTGCTTTCCCCTGGGCACTGCAGAGGGACGTAGATTGTTAAGACCCAGTTCTTACCTGCAAGGGACTTAATATTTTGTACCCCAAAAATATTTATTTATTTATTTTTAATATTCCTCACCTGAGGATATTGTTTTACATATTATCAGATAGAGTGGGAAGGCGGGAGAGAGGGAGGGGGTGGGGGAGAGAGAGAGAGAGAGAGAGAGAGAGAGAGAGAGAGAGACATCGATGGGAAGAGCCACATGGACTGGTTGCCTCCCGCACTACCCGACCAAGGCTGGGGACAAACGCCAACTGAGGTACGTGCCCTTGATTAGAATCAAACCCTTGACTCATTGGTCCATGGGCCGACGCTCTAACCACTTAGCAAACCAGCCAGGGCCAAAAAAATAAAAATAAATTTTAAGGAGTCCTACTATATAGCAGAATATAATCAAAATGCTATAAACTTTTGATTCACTATTTTTAAATCCCTAAATTAACCTTGTGGATCACAGTACCCAGGAGTAGAAAACAAAAGTATCTTTGTTCAAAAATAGCTTCCAAAATGTGAACTTAAAACATATCTTAACCTATCATCTTTAAACATTGCCATGTTTGGAAAGGAACTACTTCTATTTGCTCATGAGCTATCATTGGATCGTATCATTACAAGGGTACAAGTTTAAAGGCCAAGGTAGTGAGTAATGAATTCTAAGTGATCCTGCCATAGAAGCTTTCTTGTGTTGTGAGAAATGTTTGACCTGTATGTTGAATATGAAAGTAGTTGCCTCGTTAATTTCTTATTTTTAAAAAGACACAAGAATGCTTTTTTGTATGAGTTGTGTAACATCACAAGAAGTCCTATTTATATGCTGAAATCATTGTTAGGTCCCAAGAATATCACCAAGATGCTCCATCAGGTCAGGAATTTTTTTCACTGCTGTATCCTCAGTATCTAGAATAGTGCTTGATGCATTGTAGATATTCAGTAAATATTTGTTAAAGTAGTGACTACTTTAATGCCATCAAAGAAATCCAAATTTGATCCATTACATTAAAAATATTCACAAAATATGATGTACACATGGCACTATGAGCACTTGATACAATGAAAACGAACCACTTAATAACAGTGGTCTGAATCAATTCAGAGCATTTCAGGAAATTAACTGTATCATGTCAACAGAATTTGTAAACCATCGAATAAAATGTAAGTTAATCTATTTTAAAAAAGACACTAAATTATTTTAATTTCCTCCAAATATTTATTGCAAGGTCCGAACAGAAGAAAATCTGCTGAAGGTTTCGTGGTTTCTTCCCCCTAACTCTGGAACAGGCACGGATGTGCTTGGGTTTCTCCTTATCTCTGGAATGCGCCTGCAGGACCAGGCACCCTCCCTACGCAGACAGAATGCAGGTGTTGCAACGGCCTGATGTGTTTGATAAGACCCTGGGCCTAGATGCTGTGAAAATCTACCCCATATAAGCAGACCCCCTTTGTAGTTCGGGGCTGACGCCGGTTTCTGGACTCAGCCCATCTGCCTTGCAGATGCCCTAAATGAGGTTCTGTTCCTGCATCACTTTGGCCTCGTGCGTTCCTCCCTCAGCAATCTAACATCTGGTGCCCAAACCCTGTCAAGGAGACAATGGAGCTCAAGTGCTTCCTCGTCCCAGAAAGCTCCAGGGTAGGGCAGGTGAATCTGTATTGAGGGGCAGAGAAAAAAGCATTTCTGGCATCACAGAGCAGGGACAGAGCGCTGAACCTGGCTGTGCTTTTAACTGACTGGATGACTAGAGTCCCAGCCCTCCAGACAGTTGGCTGGGAGGATCCAGGGTGGGGAGTGAGCGGTGACCTGGCTGTGGACACCTCGGGTGTGCTGCTGGAAGAGTGACAGGCAGTGGAAGCTGGCCCTGGGCTAACCTGCGAGTCCCACCAGGTGTTCCAGTGGAGGGCCAGCGGTGCTTCTCCCCAGCCCTGCGGGCCCTCCTGAGCCAGCCAGGAGGACGCCGACTGGGAGTCTCCTCTCCATTGCTCAGCCTTTTGGCCTGAATCTCTTCAACTAGGGGTGGCTGTTTCAGAAGGTTTCCTATGTAACCCCAACAGCACTACATACCTGGTAGGGGACGCCTGCCTGGGGCGGCTGCTATCTCATTAATGGCTGTCTGGTCACTCGCCTCTCTCAGAAATTCAACATGGGCAACACCCAGTCTGTCCCCCCAAAAACCACCCCTTTGGGTTGTCTCCTTAAAGTCCTCGACCAGCTCGGACTTGCAGGTGACATTAAGCCCAAACAACTCATCTTCTGTTGTAATACCGCCTGGCTACAATACCAATTAGATGATGGCTCCCAGTGGCCTGAAAATGGCACTTTCCATGTCAACATCTTACATGATCTAGATAACTTTTGTCACCGCAACAGAAAGTAAGCAGAGATTCCTTAGGTCCAGGCCTTCTTCACCCTTTGATCTCAACCCTCTCTGTGCCAGTCCTGTTCTACCTACCGAACTCTCCTCTTACATTCAAAACCCCCTACTCTTAACCCCTCCGACTCTGAATCTAACTTTGACCTAGCTAACCACCAGCCTCCCCCGCCCTCTTGCAGTGTAGCAACAGCTCCCTCCCTTGGCCCCTGCAGTCTCAGCAGAGGAGACTCCTAGCCTATCTCTTCCCAATACCAGCCTGCCATTCCCGCAGGCGCAGTCCAGAGATAAGGAAAAGAAACCCAGGCACATCGTGCCTGTTCCAGAGTTAGGGAGGAAAAAAACTATGAAACCTTCAGCGGATTTTCTTCTGTTCTGACCTGGCATTTATATATGGCACTTGATTCAAGGAGTGGTTTGTGTTATCACTTTTATTCAAGCACACAACCTCAAAATTTTAATTACTACAAAGTGAGAGCTCTGCTGTTTCATTTCTAGGCTGGTTCCATTTTTTTTAATCCTCACCCGAGGTATTTTTCCATTTATTTTCAGATACAGTGCCAGGGCTGGGGTGGTGATGGGGAGAATGCACGTAAGAGAAACACATTGATTGATTGGTTGCCTCCCACACAACCCCCACCAGGACCAGAAGGAACCAGCCACTCTTTGGTCCGAAAGCCTCGATGCTCTAACTGGTGAGCCAAACCAGCCAGGGCTAGTCTGCTCCCTTTTATGCCTCAAAAGATAGCCTCCTTCCTGCCACCATGCTTGGCATGAGTATTCTCTTGCTTTCCTTTTGGCTTTGTTGACATTTAGATTCATCTGGAATAATACAGTTATGATTTATTATTTAGGGAATGAAGTTTTTTTGACAAATGGTAATAAATTGATAATAAAATTGATGCTCTATTTTTTTCTCTCATTTTAAGATGTAACCTACATCTTTGGCCCCATGGAACTTGTAAGAATTGAATTTGCCCAAGAGCACTATCACCTAGGGAGTTATGCGAAATTACCAGTGCCTAAAGCTCACCCCATTCCAACTGAATCAAAGGAGAGGGTGGGAATACGGCATTGGTGAGTTTTAAAAACTCTTCTCAACCAGGATGAGAATTGTTAACCCAGAAGGGAGAGTAAAATTGTGGTCATACTTGGAAAAAAATATTTAAAATGTTTTCTTAAATGGCTAGCATATTGCTTAAAATAAATGCTCAAAAAGGAATGTGATTTTTAAAAAAATGTCATCTGGTATTTAATTAGGATGCCCTGTGTCGATTTCAGGAAATAGTTGGAAAGTCTCTCAAACCAACTTTTGTAATATATTTAATTGCAGATAGAAGTCTTGACTTAAATGTTAGACATTATTTTACTTGAATGCAGTTTCTTAAAAGGTTAAACATGCCCTGGCTGGTGTGGCTCAGTTGGTTAAGTGTAGTCCTATGCACCAAAAGGTTGTCAGTTCCATTCCTGGTCAGGGAACATGCCCATTGCAGGTTTAGTCCCTGGTCAGCATGCATACAGGAGGCAACCAATTGATGTTTCTCTCTCTCCCCCTCTCCCTCTCCTTCTCTCTAAAAAAAAAAAAAAGTAACTTTTTTTTTTAAAAAAAGGTTAAACATTTACCTGAAGTGTCCTGTTTTTCAACTTAGAGCGCGTGCGCGCGCGCGCACACACACACACACACACACACACACACACACATCTTTTATTTGCTTATATCCCATTGACAATTAAAAAAATAATAATAATAAAAGAAATTGGTCATTTATTAGGCCACTTGGCATTATTCAAGTTCAAAAATTAATCAACTTTTGGATATTTGCTATAAATAGTCCAAAGAGCAGTATTTATAGCATAGAGGTATGTTGCACTTAAACTTACATGTTGTAAGTGTAAGATATACTTTACATTCACACACAGTCTTCACTGTGGCTGTATTGCATCTGTTACAGTTGTGCTCTGTTTCTTAGTGACCCTTACATGTGTCCTCTCAGATAAAAAGTAAATGCAAATATACATAGTCAGTTTTATTCTAACAAGCCTTCATTTATTATACAAAATTAAAAGTTTTAATTAAATATTTATAGTAGAAAAACACTTTCTTATGTGTGTCATACGTAAAGGTAAAAACTTCTAGCATAAAATTAGCTGTGTTGATTTAAGAGCTGGTATGGATTTTGTCACATTCAGGAAAGAAGAAGGTACTGTTCAACTATCCAGTTCAACTCAATGCATTAGGAGTTTGACTTCTGTTAGATGTTGGAGCACATACTTGTCCCTAAGGACACACTAAAACTCTTCAAAGTGTACTTATGTCCAGACAAAGATCCTCTAACTACTGTTGCTGAACAACAAATGTTTAATTGTCCATTTCTACCTCTGTTAATCAGTTCCTTCAACTTCTCTTTAAAAACTTTCCTAAATTTTTTGTTGTTTTATTATTTGCTAATAAAATATTATTTGCTTTTTAAAATATTCAGTATCAGAACAAAAGTGCACAGTTTAAGTAATTAAGTAAGCAGGCATATGTCTCCTCTTCTCACCTGCTTAATTCTAAAGGGCAAGGCCGGCAAGGTCAGATTTTAGACCATCAGACCAACATGTTGGCGTTCAATATCAAACAACTTCGTTTTTACTTCCTACAGTTTCCTGCTGCTGCTTTGCATTTTTCTTCACTAAAGCATCTGTTAGTTAGTGAGTTTTTCAGTTCCTTCTCCATCTTTTTTCCCCCTTGTAGCTGTGAGCACTCCAGTAGATTGCATCATTAGGTTGGGCCCTGTGAGCTGTTTTGCTCTTTTCCAAGTGTCTGATTCAGCAGGCCATAGACCACTGCTTGCCAGAAAATCGCCATTGCTTCTAGGCTGACGCTTGCCTACTTGTTTTGATCGTCTGAGAGACGAGACTTTGTTTGCCAGAATCACCGTGGATAGAAATAGAAGGGTACAGATAAGAAAAAGCACTGCGATTATAATTAAGCAGACTAGCATAGCCATTTTGTTGTTCTTTTCCTCACAGACATCTTTTTTGAAAATTTCACTGTGACTTTTGCTTGTGTTTTCGATGCTCTGTAATGTTGGAGAACTGTCCTTAGGAGTGAAAGATAGCATGTGAGGTGGTGATGTTATTTCAGGCATGTTTGTAGAATTACGTTTATCTACTTTGGGAGTCGTAGAGTTTGTGTTACTGTATTCATTTTGGTTTCTGCCTGTCTTATTATGAATATCTGGATCCCAGACAGTAGTGTTGTTAGCCCACAGATGGGTAGAGTCTGCTTTTGTTCCAGGAGACAAAGAAAAAACTGTTGTCATCAGAAAGGCAAGATGCAGGTAATGTCTTGTGTGTTTCATGTCCATGAGTATGCAGGTAACCTGTTGGGATAGAAATACAATTTGAGAATTTCTAAAAGAATAATGGTTTCTGGTTTGGGGGATTGTAGTTTAAAGATAGACAGCTGATATGTTACAAGTAAGCTGCAAGCTCATGCCTAACATGTTCAATCCTGTTTGAACTCCTTCTCCACCGATTTTTATTTCTGTTAGGCTACATACAAAGAAAAATTTAATTTCTGTTATTCTTTTAAATGCTAGAAGTTAGCATTACAAATAATTATTAATTATTGTAGAGTGAATGCCATTGTTTTACATAGTTTTCTTTCTCTTAAGCATGCTAGACTTCAGCTTTGAGTCAGATACTTATGCTTTATGCTTTCGATCCCCCCCACACACTTTAAGGACCCTTTTTTGCAGAAACTCCCCACCTTCTAACAAATGTGTGATCATTCTTTATAGTAAAGGAGAAATGTGGCCTTGAGCATTTTGCTTCATGTATGAAAATAACATGCAAGTAGCTTATTCCCTCACCCCCACCCCCACCCCCACCCACTGTCAGGAAAGGGGAAGTGTAGCAACCAAAGAAATGAACTTCAGATAGGAATTTAAGGTGGTGTTTTTGTTCCTTCTTGGTATTTATCTTGAAGCTTAGAATGCAGCTGGTACTTAGAAATGTATCCTCAGTATTTGTGAAAGCGATTTTATGGTGGTGCTTCTCTCTTTTCGCCTCTACGTATTTCCCTGACTCACCGTGGCTTTCTGAAAGCCAAGGCGAAGGCATGCCCATTTCCTCAGCCTGAAAATCCAGCGCTACAAAGAAAAGGAGGCAAATTCCTCTGAATAATCTCAAAAGTTCAACAAAAAGTTACTGACTTTTAAAATATCATTTATGCCTAGCTTTTTTCCTATGAATGTTTTGACATAATTTTTAAAAATTATACAATAAAATAGAAAAATAGAGCATCAGGATCATGGGGTTTTAGACTGAAGCTGGAAGTTAAGGCAGATGGTAAGCATCTCTACATATACATGAAAAAGTTGAATTTCAGTTTTGGCTCCGAGTTCCCTGGAAGCCAGTACAAAAATGGGACAAGTCTGTTCGAATTCTCAGTATCTACCATAGGATGGAAGATTTATTTATTTATTTATTTTTTAATCCTCACCCAAGGACATTTTTCCATTTTTTGTTCAGATAGAGTGGGAGGGAGGGAGAGAGAGGAAGAGAGGGAGAAACATTATCGTGAAAGGGACACATCGAGTGGCTGCCACACACACAACCAACCAGGGCCGGGGACAAACTGCAACCGAGGTACGTGCCCTTAGCGGGAACCAAACCCAAGTCTCTCTGAACCGCAGGCCGACACTCTAACCGCTGAGCCAAACCGGCCAGGGCTGAATATTTATTTAAATAGAACTGGCATAGCTGTTCATGTACTGGTAAACCAGAAAGATCTATCACCATTATTGAGCTATCTCTTTTATAATACTATTCCAGCTTGTTGGACTGTTTTTATAAGACTTTTATTGTTAGCATTTATTTGAGCAAATGAGAAGAAAAAACTAAGTTATTGTCCTTTTTTTTTTTTTTTTTAATCCTCACCTGAGGACATTTTTTGATATTTTGTTCAGATAGAGTGGGAGGGGGAGAGAAAGAGAGAGAAACATAGATGTGAAAGGGACACATCAAGTGGTTGCCACCCACACGACCCAACCAGGGCCAGGGACAAACTGCAACCGAGGTATCTGCCCTTAGCGGGAACCGAACCCAGGTCTCTCCAGACCGCAGGCCAACGCTCTAACCACCGAGCCAAACTGGCCAGGGCTAAGTTATTGTCCTTTTTAAATGCAGCTTTGATTCCATAGATCTAGGAGGGACCTGAAATTCTTCATTTCTGACCCACTCCCAAGCAACGTAGATGCTACTGCTAATCAAGCTTTTATGCGTTTCAAGATTTTATAAGGAATAGTTTATGAGAAGTAGGATATAATAAATGATGCTAACTGAAAATTAACCTCTGAAATAATGTCTCCTATTAATAGTAGAGAGGGAAAAAACCTTTATTATGTGTTGTAGAATTATGGTTAATTTTTGAATCATGACCTGTGATGGACAGTGAAAGATGTGGTGCACTGACTTCTGCATAACCGTGTTCAGCTTCCATTTTTAAGTTGTAGGACCTAAATCTTTGCCTACTTTATATTCATTCACAAAGAGAAATACTTTAAATTGTGTTAACAAGTAATTTCTATCCTTTTATACTAGATTGGCCTTCTACATAGATGCTGAAAGAATTTAAAGTGGGTTATTCTTGTCACATTAGTTCATTAACAATGTAGTATGCACCATAGTGTTCGTACACAGTTAACAGTGCTCACCACGGGGTGGATAATAGGCCTGCTGTTGATTGTCTTCAGCCAGATGTGCTGTCATTCCCCAAATAAACAAACGCTAACAAAATGAGACTTTCTTACCCTTTCAGATTCCTGAGAATAGAGGGCTGTCTCCACGTCCCTAATTTATGCCGTGAAAGCCAGGTTATGTTATCAAAAGCAGTTTTTAAATCTCTGGTTATTTTCAAAAAATTATAATGCCTAAGCATTAGTAATAAGAATTTATTTTTTAGACTTTTTTTTTCATAATCAAACTTTCCAAACTCTGTAGAGTTTAAACTCAGATCCTTCCTAATCCTAATTTAAAACTCTATATTGATAGTAAATCTGTCCCATTTCTAACTTAAATGTTACTTGATAGGAGAGAAAACAACAGCATACATTTTCAATCACTTGTGATTCTACTTTGTTAGTAAGATTTTAGGTACTATTTGAAGCACTTCCTCAAACACTAATCTGTACAAATTTTAAGTGAAAACGCATAAGAAAAGCCATATATATCACCTACCTTAGAAAATGGCTGGTCAGATCTGACTAGAACCTTATTTTAATAAGCCACGTCTTTTCTTGTCTCGAAGCACAGCTTCCACGTCATTGAGAGCAGGACAGACTGGGAGAAGTGTGAACGTTAAAGTGAATCTGCAGCGAAAAGGACATGTGCAGCGAGCTTTCCACTGTTCAGACCAAACCACAGATGACACATTTCCTTTTCGCTGCAACTAAAGCACATGTCACAGGGGGAGAAAACACCAGAATCTCTAACTTGTCTAGCTGGCCACTGGCATGACAGGAGGCTTTGTAGAACAAATCCCGCCTCCAGGGCAGGGAGGGTTTTCCTCTTAATGTCTTTTGACCTTATGCTCATTCTATATGCCTGCTATATGCGGTTGAGTGATATATTAGTATCCTTCAGAAGAAGAAGAAATGGCCTTTTCCCTGCAGCATTAAAATCACCTCTAAACATTTTATTTGTAATGCCACAGACTGATTTGATAACATGAGTTTGGAGAACTGTGGTATTGGTCAGATAATAGAAACAGTGATATACACAACCCACATCTCAAACTGCGGAACTGCAGCGATTTGAGAAAGTACGTAGTAAATGTAGATTATTATGTAGGACAGAAAATGCTTTGGTGTGGTTTAGTGTATACACACACATACTCTCTCCCCCCTCGAATGTCCTTTCATCACTTTATATTCAGTGTATCTAAAATGAACCTCATTTTTCTCCCCAAAGTGGATGCCCCTCATGATTTCTTTGTTTTTGTTCATGACAGCAACACTCTTTGTCATCTCAGAGGCTTGTTGTACAGCAAGTACTTTTAAGTCAAGTCCTTTCTTATAGACCTGATCAGACCTAAGAAAAGGTTGATCCTTTCTTTATATCCTTGGGTCAGTTTCTCTTTTACTATCACCATAGGAATCTTGAGCCACATAATGACAGCCCGCATGTACAGTGGTGGTCCCATAAGATTACATAATGGAGCTGATAAATTTCTATTGCCTAGTAGTCATGGTAACATCATAGCACAACACATTACTCATGTGTTTGTGGTGATGCTGGTGTAAACAGGCCTACAGCACTGTCAATCATGCGTAAATATAGCTCATACAATTACAGTATTAAGCTGCACATCTAGGTCTGTGTAAGTGCACAACGAAGTCATCTAACAGAGCATTTCTTGGAATGTATCCCTATGTCATTCAGTGGTGCATGACTGTATTTTAGATCCTTATTAGGCTGTGCCTAGACTACTACTATATCTTTTTGAGTATCCCTGACTCCTTTATATATCTTGTATACATTACTTCCTTTGATCATATCACCCCTTTCTTTAAAAAAAAAAAAAATCGAGTTGAACAATTCCTTAACACCTACAGCAATGATTCAGAAATGTATCACATAGATATCAGATGAGCGGGTTTTTAAAAAAAAACACAGTAAAAATATCCAGGCCCCACTGCGTAGATTTATACGTACTGGTGGGTCTGGGCTGGGACCAGGAAACTGCATTTTTATCAAGCATCAGAGCTGGTTCTCATGCTGATGCAACACAGAACATACTCTGAGGAATACTGAGCTCCTAGGAGAAAACCCGAGCCCCACAGTTGAACAGTTTGGTCCCTCCACAATGAGCTATATGTGTTTTCCAGCTTTATCTCTTAGAACCTCTCTAGGTAGAACCTCGACTCTAGCTAAACTAGCTGACTGTTGGCCTCACACCCCTAGTTACCTATTTCTTTACCTGTTTGCCTCTCTCCATGAGGCCTGCCAGTCCCTTCTCTCATTGAGCTAGCAGTGTCTTCTGTCCACTTCAGCCAATGTGTCTTCTAAGTAGCTTTCACTGACTACCGGTTTGTGTTGTTCTCTCCCTCTTCTGAACTTAATAGCAGTCTTTTACTCTGCAGTTCCTTTGATAAGTGATTACATACTACCTCATCTTTTCATTGGTTTTGAAACTTTAAAAAAATCATTTAACTGGTCATATTTTGATCTTATTTTCTTCCAACAAGATTAAAAACTCTGAGGTGAGGATCTTTCTCTTAGCCTAGGTTGTGGTAGTACTCCCAAGGACATCAAGATAGAACATTGGGCCAAAGTTCATACAGGTTGTTTTGACTGAAATTCTAGTACCGTGTTCTTCAGGGCTTTCTGTTGGTCCTGACCTTGGCTGCTCATATTGTTGAGCATTATTTTTAGTATTAAGCAACATATGACCTAATATGGCTGACTTAATAAAAAAAAAAAAAAAATGGCACTTATTGGCTCATACAACTGAGTAGTCCAAGAATAAATTTGATCCCAGGAGAGGCTTTATCTAGGACTCAAATGAAGTGGCCAGGGCCCCAGTTTCTTTATTTCTCTGATTCATATCTCCAGTTTTGAGTCATGCTTTCCTTCACATCTCAAGATATGAGCTAACAACTCCCAGGGCTCTGTGGCCCCTTGTTTAACAAGTCTCAATTCCCAGCAATTTAAACTATGGTCTCTGAATTGGGCCTCTGGGCTCCCATTGTCCTCATTTGAATCATATGCTCATTACTAAACCATTCTCTCTGGCCAGGATGGGATAAATGAATTCACAAAGCCATTCCATTTACTCCAGGGTTCCAAGTGGGTCACTGACACCCAAACTGTTCACTTGGGAAGTTTGGTGGGCCCGGAAGAAACTAACCAATGTCTTCTGCCTTCCTCCTTGATTGACTGTGATGGACAAGTTTGTTGTTATTGTCATTGCTCACAGTTTTTGAATTGGAGATTTGTCTCTTCTGGTTTTTTTTTGTGTGTGTGTGTCTCTTCTGTTTTACTTCAGCCATACTATTCAATGTCTAAAGAACAACTGAATTTAAAAAAGTATCCAACCTTGGCCCAGTGGCTCGGTTGGTTGAAGCATCCACCCATACACCAGAAGGTTTCGGGTTTGATTCTTAGGGCACATACCTAGGTTGCGGGTTCCATCCCCAGTCGGGGTATGTACAGGAGGCAGCCAATTGATGTTTCTTTCTCTCTCTCTCCCTCTCTCTCTCTCTCTCTCTCTCAAATCAATAAAAACATATCCTCAGATGAAGATTAAAAAAAAAGGACCCAGACTTTGTATAATTGTTTTATATTATTGTTAGTTTTTTCTAGAAAGGTAATCAGAAAATAAAGTAATAAAACAGATGTGTAGCATCTACATATCTATTCAGAACTCTGTTAACAATCTGTGTCCTTTTTTTGTTATCTTCCTTAGGTTCAAAACTGGTCAGATCAACGGTGATTTGCTAATATACCACGTCTTGCTGACTTTAAAGCCATATTATGCAAAGCCATATGAAATTGTAGTGGACCTTACCCATACTGGGCCTAGCAATCGCTTTAAAACGGACTTTCTCTCCAAGTGGTTTGTTGTTTTTCCTGGCTTTGCTTATGACAATGTCTCCGCAGTTTATATCTATAACTGTAACTCCTGGGTCAGGGAGTACACCAAGTATCATGAGCGGCTGCTGACTGGCCTGAAAGGCAGCAAAAGGCTCATTTTCATAGACTGTCCTGGGAAACTGGCTGAGCACATAGAGCACGAGCAACAGAAGCTACCCGCTGCCACGCTGGCTTTAGAAGAGGACCTGAAGGTATTCCACAATGCTCTCCGGCTCGCTCACAAAGACACCAAGGTTTCCATCAAAGTAAGTTCCACTCTGTGCTAGGTCCGTTGCCTTTCTTGACTAACCAGACTAGACGCTGACCTTCCTGAGTTTCCCTGTGGTACTGTATCAAATGTAAAGTAAGTCCAGAGGGAGAAAAACTAAGCTTGCTATCTTCGTGGAGGTCCTGTGCGTGATATGAGATGCGTGCGCTTAATTAGACTCTAGGTGGGCTGGAGGCAGGAGAGTGTGTGGAGAGGGCAGTTTGCTATATCAGTTACATGGCAGGAGCGTGTGGAAAGTGGAAATCATCTAGTGAGAATTCTGGTTATTACATACTTTTTGCAGAATGAGGAACATGAACCTTCAGGATAAAATCAGTAATTGTCTATAGGATTCTTGACCTTTTTTAAAAACAAAATTAATTTTTTTCTGATATTTTCAGTCTCTTTGAGAGCATTTGTTGCAATAATTATTGAACCCATTTGAATATATAATGTTGGTGGCCCTTCCTTGAATGTTAAACAGTATTTTGGTTGATTATTTGGTTAGTTGGTTTTGGGGCCTCTTACAATTCACCATAATGGCATTTAATTCTTCTTCACTCCACCCTCTCACCATCACTTTCCAGGTTGGTTCTACTGCTGTTCAAGTAACCTCAGCAGAGCGAACAAAAGTCCTGGGGCAGTCAGTCTTTCTCAATGACATTTATTATGCTTCGGAAATTGAAGAAATCTGCCTGGTGGATGAGAACCAGTTCACCTTAACCATTGCAAACCAGGGCACACCACTCACCTTCATGCACCAGGAGTGCGATGCCATTGTCCAGTCTATCATCCACATCCGGACGCGCTGGGAGCTGTCGCAGCCCGACTCCATCCCCCAGCACACCAAGATTCGGCCAAAGGATGTCCCTGGGACACTGCTCAATATCGCATTACTTAATTTAGGCAGTTCAGACCCTAGTTTACGGTAGGTTTTTTAAAAACTCACTTCAACTTTATTCAGGGTTGGTTATTTTAAAAATGAGACCACTTAATAAGCTTTTAAAGCAGCCTCACCCTAATACTGTAAATGCGACATTGGTTAACCGTCATGACCTCATCAGGTTGTGGGGTATTCACATGAACTGTGGAATTCAGAGTAGGGTGAGTCACACTAAGCCAGTGGATGTGCTTTGTCCAGGAAAACTTTCATCTCAAATGGACAACATAGCAGTTTAGGGGATTTTTTTTCCTGAAATATGTTTTCTATTAAGTCTACTCCTAAATTAAGTTTCCCTTCCTCTGAGTTTTCTAATTAAGTTTTCCCATGTTCAAAGTATATCACTATTAAGCTTCCTCACAGTTAAATTAGATTATCATTGTTTTACAAAGGAAGGCCTAATGTTCAATAATTCAAACAATAACATTATTGCATACTTTCCATCTGTGTGACTTTAACAAAATTCTTGAAAGAAATCTTAAAATAAATATAGATGTCAACCAAGCAGAGATATAATTGGTTCTATTTAGGCTTAATAATCTGAACACAAATCAGGAAAGAGCAAAGCAACCAATTGCTGTCTCTCTCCTTCCTTCCTCCCTCCCTCTC